GCGGCCTCAGATCCACCACGATCTGCTGGCTGGGGAATTGGCTCCGTGGTCGGACCCAGAGGGTGGTGGCTGACAGAAGTCAATTATCATGGTGCCCTGTGAGGTCCCCCAAGGCTCTGTCCTTGGACCTGTATTGTTCAACAGCTTCATTAATGATGTGGACATTGGAGTCAGAAGTGAACTGGTCAAATTCGCTGATGATACCACACTCTGGGATAAAGCATCCACACCTGAGGATAGGCGGGCGATCCAGGCTGACCTTGACAGGCTCAGTAAATGGGCGGACAAGAACCTGATGATGTTTAACACTGAAAAATGCAAGGTTCTCCACCTTGGGAGGAAAAACCTGCAGCATGTCTATAGGCTCGGCAGTGCTACGCTGACTAGCACTATGGACAAGAGGGACTTGGGGGTCAGGCTTGACCACTAGATGAACATGAGCCTGCAATGTGATGCAGCAGCCAGTAAAGTGAGCAAAACGCTGGCTTGCATCCATAGATGCTTCTCAAGTAAATCCAGGGACATCATTCTCCTGTTGTACTTGGCTTTGGTGAGGCCGCAGCTGGAGTATTGCATCCAGTTTTGGGCTCCACAATTCAAAAAGGATGTGGAGAAGCTTGAGAGAGTCCAGAGAAGAGCCATGCACATGATCAGAGGTCAGGAAGACAGACCTTACGACGACAGGCTGAGAGCCATGGGGCTCTTCAGCTTGGAAAAGCGCAGGCTCAGGGGTGATCTGATGGACACCTATATGTTTATCAGGGGTGACCACCAGTACCTGGGGGAACGTTTGTTCAGCAGAGCGCCCCAAGGGATAATGAGGTCGAACAGTTATAAATTACTGCAAGACCATTTCAGGCTGGACATAAGGAAGAATTTCTTTACTGTACAAATCCCCAAGGTCTGGAACAGCCTGCCATTGGAGGTGGTTCAAGCACCTACACTGAACACCTTCAAGAGCAAATTGGATGCTTATCTTGCTGGGATCCTATGACCCCAGATGACTTCCCGCCCCTTGGGCGGGGGGCTGGACTCAACGATTTTCTGAGGTCCCTTCCAGCCCTAATGTCTATGAAATCTATAAAGCAACACCCCTCCAACCACCACCACCACCGCTTGTTATTTAGTACTAAATGACAGCATAGTTATTCTGTTCACAGCTTTCCATACTTGTCAGCATTTATTTATGTGACTTCTGGGTATCACTATGAAGTATGGCAGAAATACCCATGCAACCCTTGATTGTACATAAGGACAGTGGATGGATTGTTCAGGCTGTAGAAAAACAGAATGAAAACCTCCTGGAGGAATTTTCCAGTACAGAAGTGTAACACATGATATAAAGGACATTGCAGGAATGGAAACTCTTCAAACCTGATACCGATCATGAATCAAACTGATTCCTTCAATAACAGAACGGAGAAGATGCTTTGTTAAACCATTTTTACAGCTTGAAAAAGCACAGAGAAGGTTGCTGATGACTGCTGGTTTTTCTGTAAGAGAAAACATGCAGGTGAATCAGTTAAGCTCTAACATCCTATCAAAAATTAAATTAACATTAAAAAGAGGAAGAGACAGGGAAAGAAGAGCAAAAATAAAAGTCTAACGTGCTATGCTTTCCTTCTTATATAATGCTCTATATCACCCTCAGTATCCTGAGTGACAGTGAGGACAGTCATGCCTGGAGCAGAACCAGAGCAGCTGGGCTTCATACCAGTTCCATGGAAAGAAAATTCAAAACTTGTAAGGAACTCTGTGGGCTATAACTAGGTCTTCCCTCCTCTACCCTACCATCCCCACCAAGCAACTCTCTGGCATCTTCATCAATCTTTTCCCCTCTGGAGATGCCTGGAGATTACTGTCAGGAAATAGCAATCCACATATAGCTGTAAGTGGAAAGACTATTACAGATAAGTATCCAATACAGGTATAATCCTAAAGAGAGAGCGTATATTCTGCTATCCGATCTCTGGGTGAGGGAAGATTTACCCAAATTAGCTTTCAGCATGACCCTGACAAACAGCTTCCTTCCAATTGCCTTCAAAGGTTTGCACTTATGACTGAAGAGAGGATCTGGCCCCACTACTGGGTTTGAGTTAAATAGAATCCTGCTCATTCTCTCAAAGCCTGGATGGCTGCAAGGGGAAACAAAACAACTTCTAATCATAAAGAAATAGGGCTGGAAGGGACCTCCACAGGTCATCTAATTCAATCCTCTGCTGTAGGCAGGATCATCCCTACCCAAACCATGCTATACAAATTCATTATTTAACCTCTTAATAAAACCACACAGTCAGCCCTGAAATAAGACATCCGTGTTTTGTTTTGTTTTTGTCATTCAGTCTTTATCTCTTAAATAGATAAGGGAAAAGGTGGAAAGCAAAAGATGGAACTGGGTTAATTTTTTTCTTCCCCTCAAATAGTCGCTATAAATTCAGGTTCAATAAAATCCAGCCTAGCAAATTTCTGCATCTAGGAGTTCCAGACAACCCACAACACAACAAACAAGTCTCATCAAACCTTTATGTCTTGTATAAAGTTTTGCAAGTTTCCCTTGATGCAGAAAATCTAATGTAAGCACATAGCACAAAGGTCAAGATACTCAGACAATAGTGCCTAAAAACATTAGATTATCCACCCATATTTGAACCTTTAAAGCTCGGCACCATTGGAAAAGCATTTTATAGTTGTCTTAACTTCTCTCCCATTGCAGCTAATAAGGGTATTACCAGAGAATCCACCTGAAGCAGAATTAGTCAACCACCAAAATCTCTGGCTTATATACCCACTGAATATATGGGTTTACAAGCTAAAACATCAACTATCCACTTTCATGCCATGCTGTTGCATTAGGACTTCTACATCAAAATGTTTTCAGATGCCTGCCTTTGCTTCTTTTTGAGGTGTCAGTGTTTGAGTCTAATTTGAGACCATCCAACTAGGCTCATTATGGCTGCACCAGGGTGCTCCGAGTACAGCTTTAACATTCCAGCAGTAAGATGGATCATGAAGCAAACAGTTGTTACTACAGCAACCAACCTGCAAGGATTTTAAGTATGCTCAAAGCTGTTATCTGTACATTCTGTAGCAGTAAGACACTAGCAGGACTTAAATGCTTCTGGAAAACCTGGCACATCTCAGAGACACTAAACAAAACAAAAACAAACAAAAAAATCAATAGAACAATCATTTTTAGGACAACAGAATCAAAGAAAGGCTTGAACAAGCACTGCACATGCTATTATAATCATCAGCGAGCTTCACTAATATTCTAGTTATTCCAATTTCACTTCCTGGGGTCTTATTCCTAGTTCATAACCCTGTGAACTCACCAGAATCAGGCAAAATAGGCAGTACCAGCCACTTCCATATGTAACTAGAAAAGCAAGTCACTAAAAACTTATTTTTGGCCATAGCATGAAAATGGATAGTTGCATATACACTAGAGTTCAATATAAATATTCTTAGCCTTGGTTTCAGAGGCACTGAAGATTCAGGTCCCATTGATTTGATGGAAGCAACAGGGTACTGAGCCCCTTTTAAAAACCAGGCCTTGACAGTGATGGGGGTGGGAGGGGGGGAAGCTAACTTCTTCATTATTTACCTTTGATCATTTAGTGGGCCTTGTTGCC